TTGAAATATATATATATATATATATATATATATATTATGTATTATACAAGTATATACACTATTTATATGTTTTAATTGAATTAATTAAATAATTAATAGCATAAGTACTTGGGCAGACATTTAGTACCCCAACCCAATTTTGTATAATTTTTTTTTTTGTCTTGTAAGGCTTTAGGGTGATAATAAGCTTTGTATTCATTTGGAGTGTTGTCTTCATAACGTCCAAAGAGGATCGGTTATGTGATTAATTAAAAAGCTGGAACAGGTGACCAAAACGATCGAAATCTCAGGACTGTCAAGTGGTTGTGGTCAATCTAATAAAGTCAAGTGGTTGACCTTTGTATGAATCTGATGGTGGAACATGGGCATATTAAGAGATATTTTGGTTCTAGATAAATCTTCCCACATATTTCTCAAATTTCAAACATTTTGACCTACATAAAGTCAAATTAATTTCCCTTCTTTCTTCACTTTTAAATTTGTCTTCCATAATAATGCCTTTTATCATTGGAGAGAGAGAGAGAGGCGTCCGGAATAGGTTTCAAATAAGTCATTCCATAATGATGTGCTTGAAAATGTAAGTAAATGTATGGGGTCGGCACCTTACCAAACACAAAAGGATCATTTACATATAAATCACATAAATCTTAGTTATTTATGTAAGCAATCGATCGGTGCTTGTTTCGTGACCAGTTGGTAGAGCAGTCCCTCTGAAGATCGTAAGTCCCTTTAGATCATGGGTTTGAACCTTCCCGTGTGTAGGTTGTGATACTCAGATATTTAGCACATCTTGAGATGGCCGCGACTCGTTTAATAGCCTCCGACCATTCCTTTCACACACACACACACACACACACACACATATATATATATAGGCATCCGATCAATGCTAAAATATTAATATTTACATGTATGATACTTAAATTTTTAGTATCACATTACAAATATTGTTATCAAGTTAAATTCATAATTTCAGGCATATATACTTATCACACTAAAGCATTATAAATTTAAATATGAAAATTTAGGTGCTAGGTGCCAGACATAGGGCTGACAATACGGCTCGTTGTTAGCGAACAGCTCGTGTTCGGCTCGTTAAGAAGCTCGTGTTTGGCTCGTTTGCTAAGTTAATGAGCCGAACATGAACAACACGAACATTGAATAAAAAGTATTAAAAAGCTCGTGTTCGGCTCGTTTTGGCTCGAAATACTACTAATCAATTATATATATATAT